GTTTTACTTTGTAGCAATGTCTACAACCTTGTGTTCTAAAGGCAGATTTTTAAAGGCAAAATGTAAGGCAAGTCTGCCTTTCTGAGGATTATCTAAGTTACATGTTAACTAAGGTTCTTGGGGATCCTGCATAAATAAATTCAACACTGTAAATGACAACTTACTAATATGATGCCTGCCTTGGTGTGCTCTGTTGCTCTGAGCAAGTTGTGTGGGCTGTTATCTCCTGAGAAATCCCTGTAAACCTACTTTATAAGTAGGTTGGGAGAATTAATATAGTTTTCTAAAGCATTTTGAAATTCTTAGATGAAAGGCTCTATGGAGCAAGTTGCTGTCAGCCTGTTTTCCCTCCTCTGAGCCAGGAGAAAATAGGCACCTTAGGGTGGGAAGGGTTGGCTTAGTCATTTGGAGTTCTTTTATAAATTACTCTTATTGAATTTAAAGTGGGTATCAGAAGCTCCCAAGAATATAGTTCACTGTTAAACAAACTTTTTGGATTTGGGTCTTGGAATTCTTAACTGTATTTTTCACCTAAGATTTCAAACAGGTTTAAATAGTAGTTTGTAGTTGGTAAGACTTGGGAAAAATATGATCCTTTAAGGATCTTGGGTCTCAACTTATCTTTCCCTAATTTTTTCTTTATTTCAGAGAAGGGAAAAGACTGACTTTTTCTGAAGAGCAGTCAATTTTAGTTAGAATGTGTAGGATCTATTACTTCCACTAATCTGTAAAATTAATCTTTGCTGCCAAATAATTTGCAATAGGTAATGGAACAAAGTTTCTACTCTGCATTCATTTATACATTCAGTGCACACTTACTGCATCCATGTGAAAACAGCTATGTTCGGAAGATTTAAAACAAATTGTTATTTTTGAGAAGAATAGGGCAGGATAATATTCATGTATATATGCACAAGTAACCCTACTACATGTTTTTGAAAAATGCATGTTTTTTCCTGAATTACCCATAGTTGAAAAAAATAATTGTGAACTAAGGATTTTGGAGTAACTTAATAGGTTTTGCTATTCATGCATTTGCAAGAAACTTTCTTCTAATGCCAAAGAAGCGTGAACTGGTCTAGATGCATAGGCGAAAGGTAGGACTTGTTTACTTTCTGTTGCTTTGAAACCCATGATTGACAGGGTCCCTCTCTCTTTTTTTTTAATGCGCTCCTGTTGCAGGCTGAAAATCTATTGATCTTGAGGGTTGGTTTGTGTGTATGTTCTCTTTAAAAACAAGATGTATTCCTTCCCATTGTTAGGTATACTTTGCTGTTTTGTTATTTGTCTGACTGATAAAGCAGAGCCTCCTCTTCACCTGCAGGTGAATTTCCAGTGACCCCCTCCCCCAGTGAGCCAGTGGGTGAATTTTCTAATGCAGTGGAGTCACCTAGTTTACAGACTAAGCTTTTTTATATCTTTTTAACAAATTGTGTCTAAAATAAATCTTCATAGCCTTCCTCACCTTTTAGGGTTCAGAATTACTACCGATCTAGAGTCGGTGGCCTTTAGTCTTTGGCAAGCTTCCAAATAAACAGCTCTTTTGCGGAGAATCCTACCCACTCTATTCTCATACCCTTCCGTGGTGTGGGGAACCGAAATTCACTTGAGTGATGCGCGTGCCCAGCACTCACTTCTCTAATGCATTAGCAGGGATTCTGACGGCTCCCCCTAACCCCTAAGTCCTTGAGGTGGGATTGGGCGGAAGAAGAGATTTAGCTTTTGAAGAGCTGCAAAAGTAATTAACGCGATTTACATTTGTGTAATGAATTCCAGTCACCTTGCAAAAGAACCTTGAGAGTCGGCCTGTTTGTAATGGAGGTTCAGCATTTCGGCGCCCTTGGTCTTACCGGCATTATATAGTCTAGCCAAAAACAAAACACCAAATAAAACACCAATTAATCATAGTAAGAACGAAAAATGTAGATCAACTGAACTGCCGTATGTGGCAGCGAACGTTTTAAAGGCAGGACCTTTAGTCTCCCCCAAACTTTTGTCACATGCTTGTCCAAAAGTGTTTCTTTAAAAGTTAAGTGACAGTAAACGCTAGAAGGAATAGCTGTCCCACGATTAGTACGTGAGGATCTGGGGCCCATTGTTGCGCGGGTTCTCAGCGTGAATGCGCCGGGCCGGGGCTCCGCGGGGCGGGGCGGGGCGGGGCGGGGCGCTCCTGGCGCGGGGGCCAGGCCGGGCCCTTGTGCGCATGGGCGGCGTCCTCTTCGGCTCGAGCTGCCTCTTCGATTTCCGCCGGCGTCAGAAACGTTGGGGAGGCGGTTAGCCGAGCGCCACCCGTTGCCTGAGCGCCACTCATCTCTGCTATGTCTGATGAAAAAGGTTCCCTGAAGGGAGACGAAGAGAAAGGAGGGAAGCCGCTCAAGACCTTCACGGTTAGTGAGTACTCGGTGAAACAGGTGGAGGAGGCGGAACCGATGAAGGTGGAAGTGGCGGCGGGGATTGATGGCTGCTCTGACGACCTCAGCTCTGGAGAGGCCGACATAGATCCAAACCTCCTGGGGCTTACAGATGATGAAGAGAAATGTCGGAAAATCCGCAGGCAGTACCGGCAGCTCATCTACAGCGTCCAGCAGAACCGTGATGACATCGTGAACACCGCGAGCGACTCGTTAACCGAGGCACTTGAAGAAGCCAACGTCCTGTTTGATGGGGTGAGCCGAACAAGAGAAGCAGCCCTTGATGCCCAGTTTCTTGTTTTGGCTTCTGATTTGGGTAAAGAAAAAGCAAAGCAGTTAAACTCTGATATGAGCTTTTTTAATCAAGTAACATTTTGTGACTTTCTGTTTATGTTTGTGGGTCTTAATTGGATGGAACATGATGAGCGTGATGAATTGAGTGGTTGTGATGATAATATAGCTCATTCCTTCTGGGAGACAGTACAAAAGGAAGCAACATCCTGGATAGTACAAGCTGAAACATTCCACTTTATTTTTGGTTCATTCAAGCCAGAACCTTCTGCACCAAAACCCCGACTTGGACATCAGAAAAAAGTTCGCAAAATGGAAGAAAATGGGGATATGCCTACGAAGTTGAGGAAGTTGGACCTAAATAGTAATCAAGAAGCGACAGAAAAAGAAGTAGAAAGAATTTTGGGATTGTTGCAAACCTACTTTAGAAAGTATCCTGATACTCCTGTGTCCTATTTTGAATTTGTGATTGATCCAAACTCTTTTTCTCGCACTGTGGAGAACATATTTTATGTTTCTTTCATTATAAGAGATGGTTTTGCAAGAATAAGGCTTGACCAAGACAGGCTGCCAATATTAGAGCCAATTAATATTAACCAAATGGATGAGGAGAATGATCCCAGTTTACATGGCAGGAAACAAGGAGTTATATCTTTAAGTTTACAGGACTGGAAGAATATTGTGGCGACTTTTGAAATTTCAGAGGCCATGATCAAAAACTCATACTAAATATTTCTTCTTAGTATAGGATCCCTTTTGTGGTTTTTCTGAAATATCTCAAAATGGAGAGTAAAATCTAAACAGAAGCACATAATATATTTCTTGTAAAGCGAAAAAGCATTTTCAAAAACATCACAAATTGTTTTACTGTGAGTGTATTTTTCTTGGTAATTTATAAGGTCATCTGTTATTAAAAAAATTCACTGGCCTGTTTATGGGAAAGTTTTTTTGTACGCCAAGATTAAATAAAAACAAGTATTGAATATCATAAAGGGTATTTGGTAATTTGCAAAAAGAACAAAAATAATTTACCCAAATCAGTTCCGATTCCCTGTGATACTGCATTGCTTTTTCACAGGGAACCAAGAGAATCCTGTAAGGGACTCCCTAAGCAGGTTGGGGGAAGAGTGGGTGAAAAAAATTAAGAAAAACTATTTGTAAGATAGTAAACATGTAACATTTTGACTGTTAAAAATATTTTTCATTGCAAAGAGGACTCAGTTTTCATATTCTAAACAATTTCTCCTGTGATCAGTCTGCTGTAGTAGTGGAGGCATCAAATAAGGGCTGAAAGATGGGAACAAGCATTCTAGGCAGGAGAATAGCAAGGTCAGACATGGAATTGTGAGATGTTAACGGCTTGAAGGGACCATCAGATTTATGGAAAAACTATCCCGTTTGAATGTTAAGCTGGGGAAGAATTGCATGACTTCATCTATTAGTATCCTCAGAGGTAGAAGATATGTTTGTCCAGCTGCTTCAAATAAAATTCAGATGTAGGCTTTATCTGGTTAGTTCATATCTTCTCTGGCCCCTAATTTCCATTTGTGATCTCTGCTAGTACGCAGAGTGTCCTTCAGAATCGGCAATCTCTCATCATGTAACAGTTTTGAATATTTGTCCCAGTTCAATTTTGCATTTCTTAGTAGAACTTTAAATGCCTGGAAACCGTCCCTTTTTAAACTAAAATATGGTTTATCCAAATGTTCTTCACTTACTATAAAACCATCAAGGCTTTTTTTGTTTTGCAGTTGTTTTAAGACTATAACTTACAACCTTATTTGGAGTTTACTGCCAAAAATTTGGCTCATTAAAGAAACAATGTTAAGAAGATGCAGTAAACATGACCATAAGCTTCTTTTTCTGATACCTGTAGGAGCTTAATCTTTGGTAGTTGTAGAATTTTGCCATTAAACAGTACTTTGGCAAGTAGATATGTCTTACGCACAACAGTAACAAGCTTTCCTACTAAGCGTAGTGGTACAGGGAAGGGAAATCCAAGACTAAACAAATGATACCAAAATTGAGAGGAAGGATTGTATTTGTGTGTGGGAAAGAGTCTTCAATAATATGGTGTAGTTTTTAGTAAAAATAGAACTTTCTCGTGAAACTTAGCCAGTTGTTTTCTAAACTAGCCATTCCTTCCCCTTCTCACATGAAGGAGTGCTCATCCTTCCCAGTGACTTCCCTGTGATTTAGCAGTCATGGAGGCATCATTTGGCCTCACTGATCCTTGCTTTAGCATGTTTCTACCAACCAAGTTCCTTGGGTTTTGTAGAGATAGTCTGTGGGAACAAAAGGTACTCTTACTGGTAGCAAAAAGATCCTACCTCAGTTCTTTACTGGCAGATTGTTCTATTGAATGCCTTGTGTCTTTACTTGGAGTGTCTTGACAGTGATAACTTTAAAAGCATTAATAGAGAATGTGGAGGTTTTGGGAGAGGTGATTTTTGAGGTCTTCTCTAAAGTTCGTAGCTGTTAAAATATAAATCAAGTTGACCACTTGTCATGACACACAGGTTACCCTATTAGTTTGAAATTTTGCAATTAAAATGACTGCTTACCTTGAAGAAAAAAGTAGATAAAAATTCAGTTATAGAGATTAAGAACCACACTGCAAATCTGGTTTCCCACTAATGAAGTACCTTAATTTTGCAGGTCTAATAAACTGAACTTTTGGAGAATATTACAGATTTTTTTTTTAAAAAAAAAACTTTATTGAATAATAAAACCGCTTTCTGATAAAGCACCTGGGATTGTATCCTGATTCTGTAACCTTCTAGTTATGCACTTTGGGTAAATTATATAACCTGTAAACTTTAGATTTTTGATCTACCAAGTGGGAATAATACCTATCAAGTTTACAGTAAAGATTAAAGTATGAAATGTTTGTGACAAGTACTTTGAAATATCAATTACTGGATATGGTATAATGGGAAAAGAAGAGATTTATAATCATATAGACCTGGTTTCAATTCTTGACTCTTGGGCAAATTTCTTAATCTCTAAGGGCCTCTCTTATCTTTTATATGAAATGGAAATGACATCTGCCTGGAAGACTTTATTGTGGGAGTTAAATGAGATAATGTATGTAAAACATCCAGCATAGTATCTGTCTCATTGTAGACACTCATGTTAGTATTTCACTCTCTACATCAGGGTCAGCAAATTCCATGGTGCCACCTCCTTTCATGGTGACATCTCTTGTAATGGTTCATTCACTTCCCTTTGAGTGTAGACGTAAGTTCTTCCTCATAGTTTTACACCTTGCCATTGTCCTGGAGAATCTATTGCCAAGTGATTAGAATTGGCATATTGTTAATTTACTCAACAACTGCTTGAATATCCATTG